TTTTTTTTTTTTTACTACATGAATTTTGAAAGTGCATAAACTTTTGCTTAATAATATTTTGAATTTTTTTTTTTTTTTTTTTGAAGAAAACAATCGATTTTGCGGCTGCGCTAAGGTAGCGTTATATATTTTACCCAATTGAAGACGGTATTTCAGCGCTAAGGTAGCGTGATATAGTTTACCCAATTGAAGACGGTATTTCATGCGACCAATCACAACTGGTGGGGGAAATTAGGGCTCCCTTGACTAAGGCACTTGAGAACACCCTATATCACCACCAAAATTATGTACGTAATCGGTTTTTGAATTTCAATCTAAGCACAATAATAACAAGATTTTTGAAAAAAACAATTGAAGTTTTTTTTTTTTTTTATTCAAATTATTTATTGGAATTTACTTAATTACCACTGCAAATACTAAGTCGAATTACATTCAACTCAAAAATTTAAATGCATTTATATTCAAATTCAATTTTTTAATACACGTATAAAACTTTAAATGCTACCAGTTAATGTGTTTTTGTTACGATCACTCAAAGTTTTAGAAGATTTTTTGCTTGTTCGAAATCTTAAAAGCCATCCACCATTTTTTGGATAGGTTTAAAGTTTGATTCAATGCTTCGAACCAATTTTTTTTGGAAAGATCATTAGATTTTTCAAAGCAATCAAGCGCCAAAAACATAATAAAATACACTCTACCCTAGTTATAACGAACCCCGATATAGCGGATACCTTATTATAACGGAGTAATTTTCCAAAACAATTTAAAATTATAATTATTATATTATATAACATTATATAACATTATAACGGATATCCATTTATTATGGATAAAATCTTTCAGCCCGAAGGGTCCGTTATAACGAGGGTAGAGTGTATATTTATACTGTATAAACATGAAACCATGTGATGTAATAAAAAAAATCTTTATACTTCATGAAGAGTTTTTTTTTGTGCTTCCTAAAATTTCAGATTTGGATTCTATACTCGGTTCCTCAATAATGGTTCCTTCTCAGTCATAATTTAATTCTCTATTGCGTTGTTTACTTTCATCATTGTTTTTTTTCCTTCTTTTTCAAATTCATAGCTATAGGTAGGATCCGTGACTAACCACGATTAAAAATGAATGTTCAATTTAAAAGCAAATGCTCTGGTACATAAATCCGTAAATATTCAATAAATATTAATTAAATGAAGTTCGTGAATAATCTAATCTATACGTTTTATTTTCACTCAAAGCATATTTTTTGATTACTTCGAAATGTAATAATGTGTTTTATAATTCGACAAGACGAACAAAGTTTTGGATTTTCCATTTTATTATATTAAAGAAAGCGTAAATAGTTATTCTTATTATTACGTGTATTATTACTAATTAAATGTCGTCATTGTTGTATCAATCATTAATCCTAATGTCGGCAAATAAATTTAAAACCCGATTACGTACATGATTTTGGTGGCGATACTAGGTGGGTCGCTTTTAACTCCCTCCGAGGACTTTTAACTCCTTCTAACCCCTCTGGGAGTCATACTCCACGATAATCATTTTCCCAGACTATATCCAAATAAGAAATAATAAAATACTAAATAAAAAGTTCCAGGCATAACACAGTCTTTGGACCGGACGGACTGATTAACAGCCATAGTACGTACGTAGTTAGTCACAGTCCAAAATAAGGGATCGCTAAAGCCTTGTGCCCACGTGATTTTGAAGGTTTAATTATAATTAATGTTAGGGTTAGTTTAGTGTTTAGTGTGAAGGTAGAATATAGGTAAAATTGCCTTCCCGTCATTTTTTATCAATGTACCAAGACAGGTTTGGACTGTCATTTTGATATTTGGCTTCTTCGTAAACAAATTTCATGATTTTTTATTGGCCGATCTACACATAAAAAGTCACGTGGGTACAAGGCTTTAGCGGACCCCAAAATAAGCAATAAAACAGTGATACCTTATATTTTGAAATGGATTTTATTAGTTTATTGAGCTTGTTTGAGATGATTTTTTTTTGAGCTTATATATTTTGAAAAGGCCTCAGTTGACTTTAATGCTTTATGTACAAGATCTCTTACTCACCATCAATAATCATTCCTTTAAGAATGAGCCGCCGCTTGTACCCAATGCTTTTCCATTCATTGGTCATACTATCGATTATTTTACAAATACTGAAAATTTTAACAAAAAGTGTCGTGAACAGGTAAAATATAAATATATATACTTCTTCTATATTTCGCCGAATCTAGACATACAAATAACATCTTTTTTCAAAACCTTACCGGCATGGAGAAATATTCTCCCTTTACGTTTTTGGAAAAATAATAACTATAGCTGGCAAAGAAGCAAGTCTTGAAGTTATTAGCAACTATCAAAATTTTAATTTTTTAGAAGCTGGCTTCGATGTTAATATCATTTTAATTACTTTAATAATTTTATTTTCAATTTACAATTTTTAATTTATTAATATAAAACTTTTCAGACACTCCCAATCATTGTTAGTTATCTAATGTTCTCAGTGTTCACAAAAACATTTAAAAAAATTTGAGAACATTATATTTAAAAATTATGTTCTCTTTTGAGAACCAACTACAGTAAGAACATAAAATTTATAATTTATGTTCTCATATGATATATAGAAAATATAATTTCTCTTTTTATTATTATTATTATTATTATTATTATTATTATTATTATTATTATTAAGAACATTAAAAAATTTATAAGAACATAAATTATAAATTTATGTTCTCAAAATACAAAAAATTTTTTTCAGACCTCTAACACTGCTCCCAATTGCTTCGTTGCTAGGACATCCACATTCTTTCTTTGACAAATTGTAAAGAATTCGTGATGAATTGTCTAATAACCTGGGAAATACACAAATAGATTTCAGGATGCATTAAAAAAAATCAATAGGCAAGTTTATTGGTGAATGCAAAGGTAAGAAAATTTTTATTCTGTGACTCGTACATTTTCTTAACTATTTTCTTTCTTTTTAGATACAAAATGTTTTAATTCTCCACAACAAAAGTTTCTGCAAATGGTGACAATAACTGTAGCTAGTGTTATTGTTGGTGAAGTAAGAACATTAAACAGTTAGCTATATTTTTTAATTAAATTATTTTCATTTGATTTCAACAAATGTGATCTGATTTTATATGCACAGCATTTATCAAATGATGAAGAACTAATCAATACGCTCGCTAATTTAACAAGGGACATTATTCCAGCACTTTTATTACCTCCGTTCTTAAGTTTTATTCAATAAAAATTTTTTTGCGTATGAATTTCATTATTAAGTTTGTCTTATATTAAGTAAACTAGGTCTATATTTTAATTTATGTATTTATTTAGATTTTGCCTAAAATATGGGGGTGAGTCAATAGAAATCAAGCAAATTTTTTATAATAAAAATTTTTTATAACTTTAAACAAGAATAACTAAACAAAAACTTGACCAAATTTAATGAAAATTTTTTTAAATAATTTTTACAATTTAAAAAAAATTTATTGAATTTTATCAAGATTTTGTTAAGTTATTCTTGTTTAAAATTTTAAAAAAAAAACTTATTAAAAAATATTTGCTTGGTTTCTATTGACTCAACCCATATACTGGCCATCTTTATAAAAAACACAGGAAAGTGATATCTGATAGGGCTATACAAGTAATTAAGCATCGTGAGCATAAAAAAAAAGAATTTGTTAGTGAACATAAAATTAATTTACTTTAATATAATATATTATTATATAGTTAATTTACATTACATTCTGCATTTATGACTATTTTTAGTCGAATATTTTACAATTGCTTATTAACTTCAGATAAAAATTGAATAATTGATGTAGAAGAAGTATGCATCTGCGCTTATTTCGCACAATTTCGATTAACCTTAATAAATGTTTGTATTTTTGTACTTGAATAGAAAAACCTAATCGTTATTAAACTTGTTTCTAGACCTCACTATCAAACAGTAATAAGTTTTAAGAAATAAATTAGCAGGAATTTAAAATTAGACCTCACAAAGTTAATTTTTCATTTTACATGAGATGAAATCTGGAACTTGGGTTGGTAGGTCGGATTTTTTTTGTTAAATGTGTGTCGCCAAAAGAAAACCCGACAATATAAATATAGACTATATTTAAATTGTCGAGTTTTCTTTTGGTGACACTCAAATCTAATGCTAAAGGCGCACAAGAGTAATTTTCATTTTTATTATTGTACGGCATTTTTCTTTTTTTTCCGTCGGTCTTATTGGACAGCTTCGGGAATAAAGGTTTACATCATATGAAACCGATAAAATATGGAAAAAATAAATGGCAAAAGCAATACTTTAATAATTGAATAATTTGCGCTTAAATAATAATAATAATAATAATAATAAATTGAAAAAATGGTCGGCCGGGTAATGCAAAATGAAAATCAACTTCGCATAGCTTAACTATTAGAATTTTAGAATATTTAAATAATGCTTAAAACCATATCAATTTCATTTTTTAAAAGATCTTATATGCATAATTAATATTCCTTTTCAATTTAACTTGCTTATGCGAAAGAAAGTCCTAAAAACAACTCAGTTTGAAATTCAGTGGTTTGTACTGAGATTTCTGAACTTTGTAATCCACTAAATGGATTCCCGCCTTCAACTAATTCATTATATCGTTGAACGGCAGTAGCATTGATGGATAAATTTACATTATGTTGAGCTCTTTGAACTCTTTGAGATCCACCAATATTTGGGAGCCTTTGACTTTGATTATTTTGTGGCTGAACGTTAGTAGCTTGATTCATAATCGTAACTATTTAGATAAAATAATTTTCTTTAAGATTCAATAATAAAAGAGGTTATATTAGTATAGTATAAATGGCGTATCCTTATTCCAAAACCTTAATTTATATAATACAAGTAAAGGCTTTCACAGATTTGTGTAGTGAGAGTAAACCCACATGGGTACAGCGCAAATCATCTAAAGTTATGTATTCGAAATTGCCACTTCAACAGATATTCCGAATTTTCGTAAAAATACAAGTCCTGTATAAGATTTAACTAATTAAGTTTTTTTTTATAAAAATTCAGAGTAGCGGCAATTTTAGAAAAACTAGATGTTGTTGAACAATAGGTAACGTAATATAAATCCTGATTCTTCTATATAAGTACTAAGTTTTTGCTTCCAATTTTCTTTCGAGTACTTTAAGCACGTAAATGTAACTAAGAATTTCACGTGATCAGGAATACTTCTTTCTTATCCGTTGATTAGTGTACTACGAGTTGTGTTCGACCCCGTAAAAAAACTACATATTGAAATGTATTGCATAGCGATAAGGACACTTGAAGAACAAGGAACCCAGTGATCATCACATCACGTATCTATCCAACCCTAACATAGGCCGAACAATTAATCATGTGATGTGATTATCATGAAGATTTCACTTAGTTCTTTGATCTTCCCGCAGAATTTATTTATCAAATTTGTTTTAAGTTTTTAAGTTTTTGTTGAATTATTATTGTCTAAGGTTTTAACCAACATTTTTTTATCGACTCACCAATATATTTTTTTTAAAAAAACAGCTCTGCATTCAGTTACTCATGGCCTTTCAATTAGATTCATAAATTGTTATGTTTGGTTTGTTTAATTTGAATCTTAAGTTTAATTCTAATCGTTAAATTTGAAATTTAAGAAGAGTACTGTATGGTATCTTCGAAGATACGATTCGGCCACTATTTATTTTTTCAATCTGGACTAATGAAATTCCAAAAATATACTTATAGGTAAGGGCGATCATTATTTTATAATACCTATTGTTTAAAATCGGTTTAGTGTCTAATAGTCCGAATTGATCCATGACTGAATTTTTAATACAAATATTTATTGAAAGAATTATTTCCTTTAAATGTCAAACAATCACTCGGGATTATCTTTAATGTAACAATATAGCAAAGTCTGTGTGGTGGGCAGTAAAAACAGCCCTTTTGGTTATATTATGTGGCCCTTTTTTGGTTATCTATACTTTACATTTAAGTTAACGACATATTTTCGAATATCTCTACGATCTTAATACCGTAATCGGGATATATTTTTAAAAAAATTATAAATTTAAATATTAGCGTATACAATAAACTGACCTCAGAAATTGATAAGATGTTGTAACGATACAATCTGTCATACATTTAACAATATCAGTAAAAAAAAGGGCATTGTAGGATTTTCTTAATTATGTACTGTACGAGCATTATTTATAAGCTAAAAAAATCAGCTGCACGCGGCACTAAAATTATAGGGGGAAAAATACAATGACGCCAAGGAAATCATTCTTGTACTAATGCTATCTTCGGGGAGAATTTTGCGTTAATACATCGTTTTTTGTTTCAATAAACCCATTATATTGCACGACAGATAATTTATGCAAATCATTATTTTCAATAAATATTAAAACAGTAAATACAATAAATTAAAGAATTGCTCTATTTCACTTTCAGATTACAGTAAACTAAATGAAATGCTCGCATGTATAATTTAAAATGCATCAAATAATTTTTCACACTATAGATTTCAAATTTAGTTAACAAGAAATTAGTGAAGATAAGCTTATTTTACAAATCTATATCTTTTATGATGCGAAATTACTACATTTCGTAAAAAAAGGGATTTTTATTGTAAGCATAATTACTACGCCTTTCCTATTATAAATCGTCTATATTGATTTTTATTGGTATGTTGATTAAGGTTGCAGCTTGTTCTCATGACTGTACTACCAAAATTGTTAATTATTATGTCATCACTAAATGAAACTATCACACACGCATGTATGTATATACGTATATATGTATAAAAGGGTATCTGTTCTATGAAAGATTCATTAAAATCTGATAATCTCTTATATTTATTCATCTGGCTATCTGGTCATAACAAGTCCTTATATAAAGGAATCTGACGAAATATTTAGGCTGCTATATTTTTTACATGGTTTGGTCATTTTAATTAACTTCGGTGTTAGAAATTTAATATAAAGTCCCATGATTATTTCAAACGTGCTAATGATAAAATTAGTCTCATTGGTTTTTATTTGTAACTATTTTAATTTTTTATGAAAATATTTACTGTTACATTCATATTTATATTTTCAGTAAACACATGGCAAATGGTAATAATGAATGGAAAATCCTCGGAAACAATAGAGGCGATCATACAATATTGTCAAACGAAATAAGTTAACTCTATAAGTGCACGGGACCAAACCTTAAAAACGTGCACTTAGAGAACAATAAGAAATGATAATATATCCTAATACGTATATACATATATATAAATAATAAGACATATACGGAAATATTGAATCTAATAAAGTTATCTGAAAATCTTATTGTCCGGAACAGGAGGGAACGTTGTTGTTACACAACTGATTTTACACACGGTGTGAAACACATAAAAAAATGATTTTACAAT